TTAATGTGTCTACTAGGTTGGAACACATTAGATAGGAACTGTTACATATTTTACCCTAACCATAGTGTAACATGGTTTTGAAATAAATAAAAAATTTTCACTCATTTTAGCCTGTGCTATATTGAAAATATAGAAGATTAATAGCATATGTGCACATTTAAGTTTCTCTGGTTCCATGCAAAAACAGAAGTTCTTCTCATTTGGTTTTGAGAGCAGTTAAGAAAGCAAGTTTGACATTCTTTCAGACATGGATAACATATACTATGGGGAAAAGATACTATGCCTTCCAGCTCCCCCTGTTGGCACAGTATTTCTAGTCTCATGAGTGACAAAGGATAATCTAAGAACTACCAGAAAACCTAGTTTCACCTTCTAGCTCAAATCCACTCCAGCAAAATACATTTCTTACTCCTACAGGGAATGAGAAGGACATTTTTTTTTTCAAATAATTGAAGAAAGTTAGACAACGGAGTACAATTTGTAAATTCGCCACAGCAGTTTTGCCTAGTGGAAAAGGAAAAGACAGAAGAGAGCAGAGGACCAGGCAATTTCCAAGACAATGTCAACAGCATGGATTTTCCTATGGCGTTTATCTAATACACCCTCGTATTTCTAATCCAAGACAGTTTCCTGATTACATAAGCACTTGTCTGTGGCATGCCATCAGATAATCAGACCTGGTCTTTCTGTGCAGACAAAGAGATCTATAAAGCTTACCATTTATAAGTAGAAGTGCAGAGACAAAACCTTTTACTAGCATTTAGTAATACCAATCCTGTTGAAGAAACACATACAGAGCAAGGAGGGAGAGGGAGGTTACTGTAAACAGCTATTTAGACAAGAAACCAAAACCGTATAATAAGAACAGGAAGAAAATATGTTCAAGAAAGATAAAAGCAAAATATTATAAAAATATTCTATTTTATTTTATTTATATAAAATATTTTTATATATATATTTAAAAAAATCTAAACAATTGTTTTGCTTTGGAACTGAACCAATTGCATATGGTTCGTATTGTCTGCTTTATGCTTTGGGATGGTTTTTAATGATGAAAAGTGAACACTATAAATATTTATTGAGTTATTGATTTATTAGATTTTTAGCCCACTGGAATCTCAACAGACTCTTGGCAATTTACATAGAAAAGAAGCGATACAGGTAGTCCTTGAGTTACCACCATTCATTCAGTGACCGTTTGACGTTATGGTGGCGCTAAAGGAATAGTACTTATGCCCAGTCCCTGAAGTTACGGCTGCTGCAGTGCCCCTACAGTCACATGATCAAAATTTGGGTGCTTGGCAGCCCGCCTATACTTACAACTGCAGGGGCACTTCAGTTCCCCCCACCTGCCTATCTCCCCCCCCCATTTCTGCCCTTTTGGTCACTCTGCCCAGTGCCACTCCTCAGCAGCAGCACTGGAACCGAAGTAGAGACCCAGGGCCTTCAGCAGTCTCAGCTGGCTGCCATTGCCCCCAGCCTCTACTGCAGCCCCAGTGCTGCTGAGGAGTGCTGCCTCAAGCCCCGCACTGCAGCCATCCACCCCAGCACCACTGAGCAAAGCCCCCACAGCCCTGCACTTTGCAGGCCTTGCCATGCCCAGCTGACTTTAGCCATCTTACTCCTGCTGCTGACAAGGCATGCCTGGCCTGGTTCTATGCAAGGCATCTGCTGGCCGCATCAGGTCTTCTTCCCAAAGCCACTCGCACCATTCTCCAAATAGCATGCCCTTTTCTCGCAATGCTTCAGAAGGCCTCAGAACTTTTCCGAAGGCTTTCTGAAGCATTGCAAGAACAGGGCACACTATTTGGAAAATGGTGGGCACGCTGTTCTTGTGATGCTTCAGAAGGCCCGAGAAGCTTTCTGCGGCCAAAAGGATAGAAATGGGGGGAGGAGATAGGTGGGGGGGTGAGTTCAAGAGGAGGCAGAGGAGGCAGCCCTCTTACTGAGGCTCGGGGCTGGGAGAAACCAAGCTGGGAATGGCTTGGACTGGGGTGGGTCCTCACCTAACAACCAGTGGGATTCAGTTAACAACAACAATGGGGAGTGCTGGGATTGCTGTTGCTAAGCAATGCAGTCACACGATGTTTTGCCTAGCAACCACATTGCTTAGTGACAGAAATTCCAGTCCCAATTACTATCGTAACTCAAGGACTACCTGTACAACAAAATAACAGTAACTCAAAACTCAAAACATAGATATAAAAGATATTAATACTCATCCACCTGCATCACTGCCCAAATATCCTCCAGAAGACATCTGTCTTCAGCTTCTTCCCAAAGGTGGCCAGAGTTGGGACTAACCTAATCTCAAGCGGGAGGCATTCCAAAAGGCCAATGCTACCACTGAAAAACACTGCCAAGGATTGGTCTCCTTGACCTCCTGAAAATGGGGAACAATCAGTTACCTCTCCTGATGTATCACAATGGTCAAGCCAAGTTCAGTGGAGAAATGCATTCCTTCAGGTAACTTGGAGCCAGGCCATAAATAAATGTAACCTAAGAACTATGCTCATTTCTGGTCATTCTATAATTCACATCAAAAGAACATCTGATTTCCCCCCATATTTCTAGCTCTCACGGGCCACAATTTCAATACCTTTTAAAAACTACACAGAAGAGAGAATCTGCACAAAGTCAGTTTTTCCCATCATTATCAAATGCAATGACAGAAAGTACCCTGTTTAATTTTTCCAAGTACCCCATTACTAACGGATGTAAGAGTTATGGGTTATATGAAAACTGCCAAGCTAAACATCTGTTTCTGCTTTAGCAATATCTCCATCTCCTGGATCACTTCCTGTTACTCTTTTCAAATCAGAAGTTAACCATTGTCAGAATTCAAGCATCAAAAATATTCTACATATATTGTAATAGTTACTGTACTTAGCTTCCAGCTTTCTACTATATCAAAGCAATTTCTAAGATTATAAATGCATGATACCAATTTTTAAAACTATGCCATTTCAAAAGTGGGATACTATGATACAAACCTCTGATATGATTCAAACAATTAAGCATCAGGCTTATGTACTCCTACTTCCCCATTCTCTTACTTTCAAGTGCAGTGATTCTGTCCTTTCTTTTCCCTGATTGGAAGTGAACCATGGTTTTCCTTTTAGTTTCAATGAAAGCCAACCTGGTAAAATTCCATTATCCATTACTGGGATGGGCAATTCCCATTTCCCCTGCTGCCCCATGCATGGCCCCAATGTCTTATGTGAAGAATCAGTCCAAAGTCTGGTCCCTACCCAGTGTAGATTTGGAAGGGATAGACAAATCTTCTTTCATTATATTAAATTTCACCTTATTTCTTTTCAAACTAGCAAAGACAGGAAGAAGAGTTATCATATGTAAAAGGAGAAGAAAATCCTCCAACTCAATTAACAATATGGGTCAATATTACACCTGAGCCCAAGCGATAAGATTCTCCTTCTCACCTACTGTTTTTCTGTTTTGGGTTCCTAATTTGTTTCCTATTTCACATAATTACTCTTTTCTAATAATAACTCTTTACTAATATTACTAAATTTACATAAAGAAGCATGTAAAAACAGAACCAGTTTTCATTTTCTTTTTAGGGATTTGCTGTGTCATGCAACAAAAATCTGTTTAATTCTTCACAAATATAGCTTTCAGAACAAATGCAGATTGTCTTATTTTTTATTCTTTCCTCCCTCCTTTACAGTATGGTTTTGGAAGTATGAGGTGTGTGTCCCCTCATATGACTTATAGATTTACTTCATCAGATGTTTGTTTTGATTTTTCAAATACTATTTATGTAATGGATTTGCTTAGCATGGAAAAAAGGCAAATTAACGAATGATACAAAATTCAGCTAATCATTGCTGTGGAAATACATCTCCCACTGTGAACCAAATAAGTTGTTTCTCCTGAGACCATGCAAGTGTACATGCACCAATGATGTCCACTGTCAGAGTAAGCTCATAGCCAAAATTACATTTGAATGCAAGTAATGCATTTCTCAGCCAGAAATCACTCCAACAGCTAAGTTATAGATAACTGATTGGGTGCCATCAAGCTGATGTCAGCTCTTAGTGACCAATAGATTTTCTCCAGGAGGATTCATCCCCAGCCTGGTCCTTTAGGTCTTCCAGTGGTGCACCCATCACCACTGTCATTGAGTCAGTCCACCTTTCTACTGGTCATCCTCTTCTTCTCTTACCTTCCACCTTTCCCAACATTATAGCTTTTTCAAAAAAAGTAGGTCTTTGCATAATGTGTCAGAAGTACAATAATTTGAGCCTGATCATTTGTGTCTCATGTGAGAACTCTGGGTTGATTTGTTGGATGACCCATTTATTTGTTTTCTTGCCTATCCATGGTATTCTCAGGAGTCTTCTCCAATGCCAAAGTTCAAAAGCATCAATACTCTTTCTATCCTGCGTCTTCAAAGTCTAACTTTTGTTTCCATAGTGTGTCACATGCCTGCACGATTCCAATCTTTGCAGGTATAAACACATCACGGCATTTGAATATCTGTTCCAAGTCTTTACAGCTACTGTACCAAGCGTTAGCTTAAAAGTGTATTTCTTGACTGCTTTTTTTAAAAAAAATTATTTGTAGTTGATCCTAAAAGGCAGGAGCTATCTATCCCTTCAATACTGCCTTGTTCACAGGAAGTAAGCAGCATCAGGAAAATAATTCGAAAAGTGGGAGTAATATATTAAATGCAGGTATTGGGGTGGATGGTAACTTGAATTTGGCTGTGCAAGATATAATTTTAGTCTTGCAGAGTCTACAAGTTCAGTCTTGTAGTTCCTTAGTTTCAACTTTGTTAAAATCATAGCTGCTTAAACCACTGAAAATAGACTGGAATCTAGATACCCAGTTATATATTTTTACTATAACTAAAACAGTGAACATACTTAGAGACTTAAACAACTTTTATGAGCAGGTAAAAGTACTGCCTGCATTTCAGATCCCCCTGAAGAAATTGCAAGGCAACATTAAGCTCTCAGAAGAAGAAAGAGCTTTACCTCAGTGCAGAAAGGTGTGAGCTGTGGATGGACCACTGGCTGCACATACATGTGGAAGGTGGATTCAATCTCCATTGTCCTGCCATTTAGCTTCAGGATGGGGAATTCAATTATCTCCTACAATAAAAAAATAACATATTAGCCTAATTTAAATAAACAACTATGCAAAAGATTAACAAGTTAAACCACAGTTCCTGGAAACCCTATATAATATGTGATGTCAGTCAGGATAAGAACAATAGCTTGGATTCTAAAAATCCAGTAATATTCCACTCAATAAACAGAATGTTTTGCCTTCTTCATCCCATGAGACAGTTTAGTACTTCTTGAAAAAACCCTCATACAACACATTCAGTAGTGTAGGAGACAACTGGAAACATATACAGTAACAGTGATACCACATATAAATTAAATTGCCTTCTTATAGTGGTCCACTGAACGGCTCTGAGCCATAATATGTAATTTTGAGAGTCTCATACTGGTATTCAACTATGTTAGTCCACCAGCAGAAGAGATACAAGTGGTAAAAGAGAGAAGACTGGAGAGACGTAGAGAGGAAGAAAATAAAAGAAAACTCTTTTATAGAATCTCTCACTCATACAACATTGAATGTCAGCCTGTGTTCTTCCTACAAAGATGGACAGATGTCAAATATAAGGTGGACAAACCTAAGAAAATAACAAAATCATCCTTCAGTCCAAAATATATATTTGTAGCCTTAAGACTTTTTCGCACTCTTTTTCTTATTAATTTTTCTAGGTTCTCCAAGTTGCAAAGGTACCAAATATTGCTGCAGTATATGCAGATATCAAAAGAAAAATTAAGTATGCAAATTAAAGTTTCATTAACTATAACAATTGAACTTACTGTAATTATTAATTTAAATAGCACCATCCATTATATAAAGCTTTAAACAAAAAGATTTGACAGACCCCCTAGCCCAGCTTTTATAATCTAAGGCAGCGTTTCTTAATTTTTTTTCGCTCAGGACCCTTCCCACTTTTAAAAATAACAGAGGACCTCAAAAGAGCTTGTGTTTGTATGTATTATATTTATCAATATTTACCATACAGATAGTTCTCACTTAGCGACCACAATTGGAATCAGCAATTGGTTGCTAAGCAACATGGTTGCTAAGCAGAAAATCACACTACCGCAACAGGCTTATGACCTTACTTCCCCTTCATTCATTAAGTGAAGCATGCAGTCGCTAAACAAAACATCATGTAACCATGATTTACTTTTTACTTCTACCTTCTCTATTAATTCTGCTTGTCACAAGCAGTTGCAAAGCACACAAATGGCAATTACGTGACTGCAGGAATGGCTGTAAAAGCGAGGATAATGGTTGCAAAGCTTTTTTTTTTTTTTTTAACACCATCATATTTTCAAATTCAGTGGTTGCTAAATGAAGCAGTCAGTAAGCGAGGACTACCTGTATTGAAAATTAAAACTGATGGATTCACCGCCACTACTGCTTCTCATGATTCTTTGATGGGATTTTAATATTGTATTATTTTTCAACATAGGGTGGGAAATAATTTTGATTTTGCGGACCCCTAAGAGGGTCTTGGAGGACCCCCAGGAATCCTCAGACCACACTTTGAGAGACACTGATCTAAGAAAAAGAAGGAAGAGGACGGAAATACAGATTCTAAGATATATAGATATAGATATAAAACTTAAGCTCACAGAGTATGACATTCCATCATAAAACATGTACATATTGTGCATGAAATACGTATACATGCACATATTTAAAATTTAAAAGATGTTGATACCATACTACTCTGCAACTCTTGCAGATAAACTCAGAATACACTTTGAGTGTAATTCTGTTCCCACCCTTCTTTCCATACATTACTTTGTATATGACTATTTTGGTGACAAACTTACCCTGATACCGGAAAAGAAAAATATCAAAAATTCAAGTAGTTGAATCATCAAATTTTTTTAAAAAAATTACATGGGTTTGTTAATAAGAAGTTTAAGCAAATCCAGTTATGATGAGTTTGGCCATTATTAAAATATACACATGAAATTAGAGTGAAAAAAAAAACACCCAAGGAATAAAAACGATAAAATCCTTTGTCTCTTTCTCCCCACTCCGCCCCCTCCCGAGTTTAATGTAACAGGAGTGACAATTTGCTTGGTGTCTTTAAAGGATAATTTGTCTGTGTTATTTAATAGAGAAGCATGATGCTGGGGCTCTAGAGTGCAAATGAGCCTATTGAGTGATAGCCAAGCATCCAGCCTCTCAAATCACTTGTGGAGGGAAGAGAGAATAAAAAAAATTGCTTTTTAATATTCAAAAACAGTTTGCAAAATTTAATCAAAGCACAGCAAAAGCTAACATTTTTACCACTTTGACATTTTTATTAGTGCTTTCATAAATTTTTAAAACATGAATAGAATTAGTTTAAAAACAACAACAAAACTGCCTGAAAACATCTGGAAGAGAGGGGAAAATAAGCTTTAAAAAAGAAACTCTTCTGCCAAGCAACATTTGCATCTTAAGACTCTAAATCCTACAGCAGAAAGGAATGAATTCAGCTTTGGGGTTCTGACCATACTACTACTATACAATATATAGGTTCAGACATCATCTTTTTTTAAACCATGGTTTATTGACTATGGTCAGGTTCACACAGAAACTAAATTACAATGGCTGCATTTACACTATGGACTAAACTATAAACAAACCACACACAGCTTAGTGTGGTATATTACCCCAGCTATAAGTTGACCATAGTCTCCTTTTTGATAAAATGGAACAATGAGGGATGTCATATAGATTCATAGTTGGTTGAGCAACCATACCTAATTCATGAACTTTAATGGATCTATGTCTATATGGGGAGAGGCATGAAGTGGGGTACCTCAGGGTTTTGTCCTGAGTCCAGAGCTCTTCAACACTTTTATAAATGACTCAGTCAAGGGGATAAAAGAGATATTCAGCAAATTTACAGACAACACAAAGCTGGGAGAAACTGCTAACACCTCAGAAGACCAGCTCAAAGTTCAAAAGGATCTTGATAGACTTGAACTTTAAGCCTTTTCCAACAAAGGGTGAGAAATACAGTGATACCTCGGGATACGAACGCCTCTGCTTGCGAATTTTTCGGGTTACGACCAGCTCTGGCCCAAAAATTTTACCTCGGTTTGCGAACTCCGCCTCGGGTTACGAGCCATTTTCCGCCTGTGCCACGTGGTCCGCGGCCATTTTC